TGTGTGTGTGTGTGTGTGTGTGTGTGTGTGTGTGTGTGTGTGTGTGTGTGTGTGTAAATAAAATTATCTAGTCTGAGGCATCCTCAAAGATTCTTAAAAATGCCCTTTAGGCATCAGTCTCCAGTGTCTGATATTGACCTTCACAATGTGTAACAAAGGATCTTACTGATGGAACTTGGAAAAAATGAAACAGTACTTCACATATGAAATTTCTGAGGGTATGGACAGACATTTGTTTGTAGCGCTACAAAGTGCTTTGGGGACATAGTGTTATGGGGGACATACAGGCATTCCCGGCCTCTAGCTGGAAAGAGATAAAGTTGCTTCAGAAAGTGAGCTCTCCACATAGGGAACAATAGGAGGCTGTGCCTTGGGTTCCCCTGCCCACAGGGAAGCCTGGTGATCACTGACACCCTGCCCTCCTGTCAGGGAAGGGGGCAGGGTATCGGGTGATCAGCCAGCAACTGCTGAAAAAGCATGGCCCCCATTGCCTGCAGGAATAGCAGGGACTAGGAGAGCTGGTACTGCTAGTAACACTTGTAAAGCTCCAGCTCTTGCCTAGGCTCTTGCATTGGTGGTAGGAAATCCCTCTCCATCACCTTTAATTGTAGCTCTACTGAAAAGTTCCTTTTTGAAAGAGGTAATGCTTTGTAGTGCTTTCTCCATCTTTATAAAGCTACAACAGCTTGAATGGCTGCATGCTTGCTTTTTGTAGTGATACGTGGGTATATTTTGAGCTACAACTGTGGCACCTGCCCATGGCCTGAACTGAAGTCAGATTACTTTCTTTATCGTATTTAGGATTTTATTAATGCCATATCTTACTGTTCCAGCTTCACATACGTAATGCCCCGGCATATATTACATTTGTCACATGTGATCCTCACATACAACGTGCAACACATGTTTGCCAGGGGCCTAAGATATTAGAGAAAACTCTACCAGAGTTCTACAGACAAGTTCTAAATTATTGCCAAAGAGTGGCAGAGTGAAGTAACAGGGATAGTTTAGTCTTCATATACCCATTTAAACACTTTTCTCTGTGTTGAGATCAATATGATTGTCTGTTGAGAAGGTACCTGGATCCAAAATATAAAACCTGAAGGATACGGGGTAGTACTTTGGCCTGTATTGTCACCAGCATTGTTGAATATTTAAAACAAAATAGCAATTTGGAGAGTATGGTGCCAGACTT